AACATTTCACTACAAAAAAAAAAATCCACGTTATGTTAAGTTTTGGGCATCACAATAGATGAAAGATATTATGTTATTTGAGAATGTGCCAGGAAGGGCTGCAAATATGGCGAAGGGCCTGGAGGGGAAACTGTATCAGTGCATGAACACGTCTTACATGTAGCTGTATCTTACAGCTTTCTGTAAGAGCATAAAAAATGCTTCAGCTTCTGCTTTAATTTCCTTGGATATTAGATCTTATTTCAATGGACAACTCCTGTTACCTGTCCACATCCAAAACTTCCACCTCACATTCTGTTTGGTCCCTTGTTTGGATGGTGCATCTTTACAAAGCACTCCTGCTCTTTATCAGTCATTACTTCATCAGTGCAATTGAACTTAGTGATTAAAAGGGACATGATAAAACAGCTGCTGAGAGCTTCAAATTTGCCTATTAGAGACAAACAAAACATATTTTCTTAGTAGTACTTGCAAATTTTGCAAAAAGGAGTTGCCAATTAGATATAAGGTCTTACAAGACATATCCTGGTGGATAAATTTGGAACAAAGTGAAATCATGCTGCACCATGATGAGGGAGCCAATTGAGGATCAGTTCCTTAGCAGATGATGTTAGGCTGCGGTTCTATTTTTGTTTTGATATTCATGACAGCTAAAGAGAAGCCAAGAAAAGCAGCAGAAAAATGCTAATTCTTCAGAATAATGTGGAAATTTGAACTAAAATAATGGAACGGGTGGATTTAAAACACACTGCTTTTATGAATTTTTATGCTTCAATATTTCAATACTGAATTTGGAGTATTCTGCACTGTACAGGTACTAGGTGACAGCTGTTCAAATAGAGAGCCTTGAGAGGAATAATGACAAGGTGGGGAACCAGCCAAACTAACCCATCTGAATCAGCCTCTCCTACAACTGTAAAAGACAAACCATTAGGCTGTTGTCCCTGCTGCAAACTCTGCTATGTACTAGAAAACACTCTGGAAACTAAATGTGATTACTTGGACTGGGATAGACCTTATTATGGAGTGCCCAAGTGGACGAAGAGCAGGACTGAGTATGACCATTCTGCACTTGTACAAGATTTATTATGTGAGTTCTCTAACCTAGTGAAAATTGAGAGGACTTGATTCCCTTGGTTTTCTAAGAGCAGCCTTTCTGCCTATTATCAGTGAATGAAAATTTAAGATCTCTGCCTAGATGCCTGGGGTATGAAGGAGAAATCCTGGGTTTCCTATTCCCAGATGGTTTTATAGTATATTCAGCAGGCAATTTCCAAGAGTTTAAACCTCATATACCTTGGGCGTCCAATCCCCCTTTCTGGGGACCTAATTGTTGAAATAGAAGAATAGGGTTCCAAAATAGGAACAAAGTTATTCTTCCTTAAATAGTAAAAGATCATTAAAATATTAAAAAAACTTATACTAAGTCATCAAACTGGTATTGAAGTTAAATATTACTACCTTTGATTTTACTCAGGATGGAAAAGGACAAGAAAATAGCATCTCAGAAGATAAATAAAAGTCCCTTGAAAAAATATGAAATTTAACCTCTTTACATAAATGAAGTACTTAATAGATAAATGCACAATTTCAATGAAACCTTTCATAAATGATGCAATTAAAAACTTTCAGTATTCATAAACATTTCCTTGATTAGAACTCTGAAATTGATGCTTATGATTCTGAGGTCAGAATGTACACGGCAAGAATTTTAGCAGCTCTCTAACAGTCATCCAAAGGAAAAAATGACATAAAACCAGCTAAGTCAGAAATAATTAAATTCAAAGTCTTTTTGGAATGAGAAGGGTTTGGGGTTCCTTTCTGAAAAGGTGAAATTAAGCTCTCTATTTAGTTCTAGTGGAAACAAAAATCAATTTCCAATTTGTTGACCTGAAACAATTTCTAAGGTTGCTATTCAGCTGACATTTGCCTGGGCTGCTGTTTTGTCTCTCAACAGCTGCTGTTCTGAGTCCCCTCTCTCTCCTGCTGGTATCCATAGCCATGAGAAGACACTTACCTAGACACTGGGATGCACTTAACACCTTTACGTGCTGGTGTGCGTTATTGCTGAGCTATCAACATGAACCCCAGGAAAGGGAAACCACAGAAAACATTTAGGGTGCCATCAGGAGGAAACTGACAGTATAAGAACCAAGCATTAAATCTTATACAATGATCACTGATGATTCATACATTTCACAGCTTAATGTTGGTAGCAAATATATCACTGTAGACAGACAAGCTGAAACACAGTATTATAAAGTTCAGTGTCAGCACTGCTAATTGAAAGTATTCAGAACTCCATATCTTAGAAGAATGTTCAATACATAACACTCTTGCTTCAATTTAAAGCAAAAGCTACCATCCAAATATCAAAATTTTCACCTGGGAAGAAATCACCTATTTACAGTAGGTCTGTCACCATAACATAGTACACATCAATACATGCCTCTACTGCATTTTGCATATACAAATTTCTTCACACTTTCAATAGGCAGTTTTGGTTTTGTTTCTTTTTTTACTGAGTGAATTCAGACTTAAAAATGCAACACCTGTTGTTTTTCTGCCTGTTGTTGCATAATGCTCTCAGAACATCTTTACACTTCTATAAATTTTGCTATAAATATTTTACCATCTGGCATATATTTTGTGTTCTTCCCCATCCCCATTAAATACTTGTTGCAGTTGCTTTTATTGTTTTCTGCACTGTCAACAAACCTCTTGACAAGGCAGCCTTTAACTAATAACCTAGGTAGAGACTTACTCCATCCTTAGTAAATGTAATCCTTCAGTACAACTTTGATCTTTCAAGGTCTCCTATTTCATCTTAAAAATGCCTAAATCAAACCTGTCACAAATAGTAAAGTATAAGTCAATATCTTACAGTCAATGAAAGGGGGATATACGAGTAACTATAAAAAAAAAAAGCTTATAAAGTTGGTCATATAAAACTAAACTAATCCAAAATATGACATTTATTGAAATATAAAACTGAACATAATTTTCAGAGTTATGAGATATCTTTATTGAAGCCTTTATTGAATTTCTGAATACTAAACCTAGAATTAACTACTGATTAATTACATTTATAAAATCAATAATGAAAAGTCACAAAAAAGAAAAGTTAATTAAAAAATGATCAAGACTAATCAGGAAGGTGTAATGGGCACAATCATGATTTGGAATTACATTTAAGGAAAAAGATGATTCAACCAAAATGTGTAATTAGAAATAATCAACATTTTTCTAATAATACACCATATAGAAATATAGAAATTGTATTTCAGATGTGACTTGACTAGAAGCTGAGATACAAAACAGACTGATACTGTATTATTAAGAATAGCTCCAAACACAACTATATTACATATTTGACATTAAAGAAATAAAATGAGACAACCAGCAGCTGTTATCACTGATAAAAATTTAAAATAATTTACTACTTATGGACACAGCCAAGTATCTGCTGTAAAGCTATGCCTTAATAATCTTACTCTCTCTTACAATAAATAACTGTTGAAGACTGAAAATGATTCCTTCATAATAACTTTCATAAAAACGACTAATCCAAATGTACCATTTTGTCAGTAGTTTGAGCAATGAGAAAGGAAGATTACTATCATGGTAATTCAGCAAATATAATGCAGCACATTAGTCAACAGCTGACTGGAGTAATATATGGAAATAAAAACTTCTGGGATGTGTGTGGCTGAAAATCATCTATTACTATTAACACTGATTTCACACTGTTACCTCTGCATTATGACTTTGTATGGGAGGTGCACTACACACAGAAGCTCAAACTCTAATCTCAGACTTCCATTAATAAATCATGTAAGTAAGGAAAATTGCATGCAGTTTGGTCACAACCAAATGAAAGTAGAAGTTGCAAACAGTAATGTACTCTTGAAGCTTACAAACACGCTGACTTACCACAAATGATGCTTTTTTTTAACACTAAAGGCTTTAATAGTCAGCAAAAAGATAGATGGGACTAAGTTATATGAACAAGTAACATTTGAACTTGCATTATCACTTGTTGCTATATGTATTTTTTTCTCCTTTGTACTTTAAACCTTTTTTGAAGGAAAGGTTAAAGAAAAAATAAGTATTAGCCAAAAGAAATTGTTTGCATAGCAAGAATCTTATTAATACTTCAGAAACATTTACTTGACAGTTTCTTTAGAAGAGTAATGCCTAGAAGACACATGGCCCTTAAATCTTTCTTCTGAATCTGATGGTCAATATTAATGTTAACGAAAATCTTGGCATCCCATTGGACAAGGTGTGTTAATGAAGAGCAAAACAACTTTCTATTTATCGCCTGGAGGTAACAAAGATCTGTCCTTTCTAAAGTTGTCTTCCTCTCTTGCAGGTTCTCAGAGTATTCTCTCTATGTATCCAACACAGATAAGGAATCTGTTTCCTTATATACTAATTAATTTAGATAAATTGCTTTTATTTGTCTGTGTATCTTAAATATACCACTTCTGTCAATCAAAGTGTATATATAGATTTACCTTAACTAAAAATTAACCTCTTTACTGTCAGACTGTGGATAGACAGAGCTGCTGTCAGGTTCTGCACCTTCTCTTACGGCCCCTTGTAAACCTGGAGAATGCAGATCTTTTCATTACTTTCTTCGAAGACTAGTCATCTATGAATTTCTACATTATCTTTCTTATAAATGCTTCACTTATGTCTTGATAGGCATTTCTCTAACCAATTAAAGAGTGTGTCTTGACTTAAATGTAAACTGTAGAAAGTCTTTCTCCCCACAGTTCACCATAAAGACTAAGATGCAAACCCATTGTGAAGTAATAATATTGTCGCATTATTCCTTGATCATTATTCCTTGATCTTTAGATTTCTATATACTTTTTCACTCATCTACAATTCTTTGGGACCTGTGTTTGTAAAGATCTACTGTAGTGGAATTTACATAATATACTGGGTCACTCAATACCAGCACACTGAGGTGAATGACTCTTTAAAATTACCTGTATAGCAAGTGCTCGAGCTACAAGACTTCTGAGATATTGCAAAGGATCTTCTGGACCTTCCCACTTGCTCTGCCATGTGACAGGACACTGAAACGAAAATAAATAATCTGGAGATCAAATATACCTACCAAAAAAACAAAAAAACAAAAAAAAAAACCCACAAAAAAAAACCCTAAAAAAGTGACACTGGTAATATAATGATCAAGAACATACAACCCCTAACAGAAAGATTGTATTCCTGCTAATCCTCTGTGTGGCCCAGACACAGTGTTGGTGGAGAACTTGCAAGAACCTCTGCTACTGAATAAGGAAACATCAGTTGGTTCCACAAATATTTCCAAAAGGCCTAAGAGCATTATTTCTTGGAAAGTCACAATGTCATCTTTCAACTGCAACCACAGTTTCCCACTCCTTTGCTGCAGCCTCCTCAGACTTCAAAATGCAGCTGTGTGACTCTGTGGTGAAAAGAATCTGGTACAATTCCACCACATAGTTATTTTCTCATCATTTTACAGCTTTTGTAGAGCAACACCTGAGAAAAAATGCCCTGCGAGACTTCCCCATATAAATTTATCTTCAAAAAGAATTCAAAAAGAAAGGCTTAAAAGGGCATCTGTTAAACTTCCTTCTTATAAAATGAAGATAGAAACACTAATTTTACATACTCCACAGGAATCTAAAGCACACTGAAAGTGACTGCAAGATTCCCCTACTTATGAGAAAGAGAATTAATGGAAATCAGTAACTGTGGAATATTGCACACTACTGAAGATGCTGAGCAGATTAAATAATTTATACTGTTTAATATTTACATCTGCATTTTTCAGGAAGCTCCCATTCTAATAGCATATGTACTGAACAGGCATTCAAAATCTGATCACAGAAGTTTGTAAAAAAAGGTATCTTTCAAAGTAAATACTCCATGTTTACCCAGAATGTAACTAGATTTGAGGATACTAATTAAAATTAATTAAATAAACTAGAATACATACTATCAATTAACAAAGCACAGGCAACTGCATGGGTTTTTTTTTTCCCTACGTAAGATTTTTTGAAACTAATTCTTCATTTGAAACCTTGCATTTTTGCAGCCTCTTTTACTAGATATGCATTTACAGGCAGCTCATCAATCTATCATTTAGAAGGCACTTGCCTAATGTTGCTAATATATCACTCTAAATTATTTTAAAGAAATAGCTTAGCTAATTGATATTATGTAAGAGTATCTCAGATGTGCTTATGCTCTTTTTGGCTGGGATGGAGTTAATTTTCTTCACAGTGGCTAGTATGGGACTAACACACCAACTTTACACAAATACAGATTTTACACAAAGAAAGTGGGTAAGTAAGCAGGTGAAATGACAGAAGCACTGGTCAGCCTATCAGGAGGCACTGAACTGATGCTTGTGAGAGGTTAAAATGCACAGAATTTTTAAGGTATTTTTTGCAGCAGTGATGATCTTCACAGCTCCTGTTAGTTTCCATAGAAGCATGCAGCTTAAGCACACAAGCAAGCCATGCTCTCTTGTCAGTAACAAGGAAAGTGTAAGAACTAAAGAATGCCTATTACATGTGTCATTTCCATTCACTATGACTTGGACTTAGAGCCAGTTTCTACCACACAGTCAAAGCATGTTGTAAAAGGCAGTGAGATTGCTAACAAGAAAATGCAATTTATTCTAACTGTACAGCAATTTTGCTAACAAATGCTGTCTTGTGAATCTAAAAAGACAACAAATTTAATTATTGTTTTGATTAGAATTTGATAGATCAATAAATGCATAACAATCTTTTCAACAGCACTTGTTCTTCACATGAAGATAAACAGGATGATAATAGGAATTATTGTTCATTGAAGAAGCAATCTCAATATCTATGGATCAGCATTGACAGAATTTATCAGTTGCTGGAGGTGAAACAAAACCAGTTTCATGTCACATCAATGTTTGACTATGTTTTAACTCAATTATCTAGATATTAATGATAGAGCATGTAAACTTGATGTCACTAATTGCACCAGTTTATAAATATAAACCAGTTTATATAATTGACCAGTTTGATTCCAAAAAACATGGAGAAAATATGAATACAAATTTTGACTGTTTTTCTTGTATATCAAGAATACAAGGTGAGATGAGAGGTTGGTGTGATAGGCACATCTTGGCTGGTGAGGTATGGCAATACTCCATACTGAATAAATGCAAAGAGAACTGTTATTACAACTTAAATTTTAAGAAAATGTAAAAACTATATAAAGGGACAGATTTACATATTCTACAGGCTAATATATTTGACTTATCTATCATGACTTGGTATTTGAAATTGACACAACTTCTAACCTTACTGGATTTGTCTTTAAGAGGAAGCTTGATAGGAGAGTAATACATTCAGAAGCTTCTGCAAAAACTTCTGAAAGATTTTCCAGGAAAAAAAAATGGTGGTGTTTTAGTGTTTCTATATTTAAAAGAACTCCATTTTAAAGTCTTTATCAATACAAAAAAAATTAGAACATGAAAATGCGTATTAGTTCAGTTTCCTTGGTTTTTTCAATGCTTTTTATAATGTATATTCATTACAAAATGACTTACCTTTTGGTTTAACAGAGCACTTGCAAGTCTTTGTACTTCAGAACTCAGTAGTGAGGTACCCCTGATGACTTTACTTAAAGAAGCAAGTGACTGATGGACACTCTGCACAAGGCGAATGGCATTGAATTGTTCCAGAGTAATGAATGATAAGATTGGAGATCCTTGTTGTTCTGCAGGAGGAGACACCTTCTGATGGATCAGGTTAGAATTCTAAGAAAGAACATGTGATATCCAGTTAATAAACTCAAGGAAACTATGATGTCATACAACATGTTATTTGTTTAACTTGTAATACTTCATATACGTACTTGAATTGCTGAAAAATCTTTACTTAGCTGAATCACTGCTTTTAGTATTTGTGTTAATATGTTAGTATATAAAGCAGTGGTACTCAGCACAACAAGATTTTACCGGGTACTGTGAACTATGCTGCCAGTTCTTACTTCATGAGGCTAGTTCAAGATGGAATTGAATTAAATACAATAAATACAAAATAAATATAATATTATACCTAAATTTTGAGTAACTCAGACTGAGAGGTACTGCTGCTCTCACACTGCCATTTTTACTTACTTCCCTTCCACTAAAGCCACTGACAATCCAAATTTATTCAATAATTTCAAGATATAGGGTAATTTTGCAAATCTTAATTCATATGCAACTTATTATATAAATATATTTTTGCATGTGTTAGGAAACTGCCAATCTGTCATGTGGCAAGATGCTGCAATGAATTCCAGCTGTAAAATTAAAAACTTTTTGGAAAATTCTATAAGGCATAAATGCAAAAAAGTAAACCCTAGCCTATGGGAAAAAATGTTTTGCTATTTCAATTTCTAGTAATTTAGTAAAGATAAAATCAGGTTTTACTTTGTCTGAAATACATTGTCTTAAAATAACAAGTTTTGATTACTTTTCAGGTTAAATAAATTTCTGAGTTGTCATATGGCATCTTGCTTTCCAGAACACACAGGATATCTACCTCTATAATCTTTCCCAGGCACTGGGAATGCATTTGTCAGAACTTTTACATTTTTAATTTCAAGCTCATACTGCACTCAGTATGCAAGCTAAAATATGAGAGAAGCTAAATGGATGAGCAATACTTTGGCTTATGACTGACAAACAGAAAAAGGAAGGATAAAGTCTTCCAACATTGTTAAAAAGGTATACAACAAAGTTATTGATCAAAATGCCAAAGCATGCAGTATTTCCAATTGTTATGCTTCCCATTTTTTCTTTGCATGCATTCAAAAATCACAGTACCAGTTTCACATCAGTTTTTCTGACACCTTAATTTGTTGAGTATATGTAAATTTTAATACAAAACTAGCATAAACTAGCTGATAATTTCTAATTGGGATGTTTAATTGCACAAAATAAAGAAAAACCCAAAACACTGCACCTTGGAGGCTTTGCTCAATCTTTGACACTCTCTAAATTTACAAAAGCTAATTGAAACAGAAGTCCTCTAAGTTCCTCAATATCATCCTTTACATAAGAGTTGCCTATAAATTTCAGATTCATTTCATCACTCTTTGTAATGCTTTCCCCTGAGAATTTGTTGAAACAACCCATCTGTCATTTCCATAGCAAAATTAAACATGAATACCAATATAAGCTTATACATTTAATGTCCTGTTACATTCTCCTAAAATCCATTATGTATATAACTCACATCAGCTTTTAAAATATGTGTGTGCTCATGACCTGCTTGGGAATTAAGATGAAGAACTGCTGAAGTACTGAGTGCTTTTCCTAATCATAAGGAACTTAAGGTAGAATCTAATCTTTAATATTAAGCACTGTATTTTGCTACCAATATTAATCAGGCATATTTTGAGACTTTGATAATTTTCTGTCTTTCAGTTCTGTATGTGTTGCTATCTTAGTATAATATAAAACTTCATAAAGTCTCACCTAAATTGTCCCATTACCTTCTTAAACTCAAGCTTTTGCAAACTCCAGCATGTTCTGAAAACTGTTTCCTCAGAAATGTAACAAATGAACTTTATAGCTTTACTAGTTCTGCATTCGATTCAAAATGCAATTTTGGTGGTGATGGTGGTGATGGGTTTTAGAAACCTCCACTGCCCTTTAGATGTACCTATTTTGCCTTCTCCTTTGAGTCTCTCTACCTATTTTTTTTTAGATATAAGCCTCTCACAGTTTTTCACATGCTTTTCATTGTTGAAAATAAAATACAGAATGACTCTCTATTTCTGTTTCACTGATTTTCCTTCATGGAAAAGACCCTGTTGTTTCTTTAAAGCTAATGAGGTACCAGGCACATGGTGTGATTCTTGGGGCTGTTCTGTACGCTGCCAGGACTTCAATGACCCTTGTGGTTCCATGCCAATTCAGGATATCCTGTGATTCTATGATTCTGTAATGATTTAGTTAAAAGAGCAACAACTCATTAATTTTCAAAACTACTTCTAAAATGTTTTTGCAGTATATTATGCAACTTTATGAAAACATTACAATTTACAAACATAAAAAAGATACAGAACACATAATTTATAATCTTACATTCAGTGAACAACTTGGAAGGAGTTGCTGCTGAAATTTTTATGGGTGGGTGTTTTAACTTTCATTAACCTGATTTAGGGGTTTTCTGAAATAAGGCAGAAAATGAAAACACCTTACAACAAAAATATATCACTGATTCTTCTCTCTCTCTCTCTCTCCTCACCAGAGAGAGCCATTTGGACATGATGAAACACTTATGCACTCCCCCTGTGTCCTCATACTTTTGTGCATCTCTGATAACTATTATATGATGGAAGATTCCCGAGTTCCACATGACAGTGACTTCCAGCTGATCCAGTTAAGTGACAAGGAATGCTTATACAGGTGCTAAGCCACAGTCTGTCAGGGCAAAGGCTGTTTGGGAAGAGAACAGACACCAGGACAGAGACTGGTTGAATCAACTGATTAACTCAAGGGCCCAGCCCTTGCCAACAATGTGCCACCCTTCCACAGTAAGGGTTTTTAAAATCTGTGCAAAATTTGACAATTTATTCAGACTTTATTTCACAGATTAACAAGTTTTCATGCAAGCTAATACTAAGCATGTGTGTGTTTTTTTCTAACTAAATGGCAGGTTCATGAGAGTTTAATCAATTTGATAAGTGTCAAGCTGTTATTAAATCATGCTGCAAAACACTGTAAAAGCAGTTTTAGAACAGTATTCATTACAACGATGTTTCCAATGGCAAGAATTAACATGTATGTTTTCAAATGAGGCTAATATAGGTGAAAATGTCAAGACATTCTGTATTAGTTCAGAACAGCTCAATAAAAAGAGGTTTGCCTGTGTAATTTCAACACAGATGTACACTGATTTGAAGCACATTTTAAGTATCTATTTAATTTAAAGTAAAATTCAATTAAAAATTTCAGAGTCTGAAGTCTGGCTAGACTAACAATCAGTGGATGAAGGAAAGGAAGCTGCCATGATTCTATTCTTATAGGTAGATAAGGAATAATAAACTTCCCAGTTCAACAATTTCAGGACATCTCAATAACTGGTAGCAACATTTAACAGGACTTTGCATTATGTATGGTCTGAGAGAAAAAATGAAGCCCTGCAAATTACCAGAAATATTTCTGAAAAAGTAACAACATGTAAGATCTCCCTACTGTATTAATGTGTAAGAATTGTTTCCCATTTTGAAATGTCTAAAATGAAAAAACCTGAAATTTCCAAAGTGTATCTGCCATTTTTGCTGTTTGGCCACAAAGAATGTGACAGGCTCCGAAAATCAAACAAAAATGGCTCCTATTCACAGAACCACGAAACAGCTGAGTTTGGAAGGAACTTCTGGGGTCTGTCAGGTGCTCAAAGATACAGCAGGTTGCCAAGACCTGTATCTAGTCTTCATCCAAGAATTTGACCCCTTGGAGCTTCATATGCTCCACACTATCCCTGGCACTTGACTGGAGTCTACGTAGAAAAGCTCCAAGGGGTCATAGACTGAGTGCCAGACAAGCCTTGGCAGTCTTTCCACAGTGTCCAACAGCTGAGCCCCTGGAAGGCAGCAAAACTCCCTGAACAAGAGAGGAGGTCAGAAAATGGGAGCATCCTTCTCCCAGCTGCAGGGAACTGCTCACTATTTTGCTTACAACTTCCTTCTGGTGCTTCTGTGCGGGTCAGGTTTAGTTTGAGCTTCATCAAGAGTGCAGAGACAAAAATTTGTCCACACTAAGAGATAATGATCAATCACTGAGATGTAAATTTTACAGGACATACCTATGTCAAGTGGTAAATTTTGTTGAATTTCAGAACTGTCAGTACATAGATGTACAACAATTGTTTTCAAGGTATTTGTAAGATAATCCTTTTTTAATTAATCCTTGACTTACATACTCAACAAGGGAATAAAAACGTTTGAAACAACTTAATCTTTGTCTACCTATTAACAAACTTCTGAGTGTCTTTTTGCCTCTAGAATAATTTTATTTTTTTTTATACTTCAGGAATACTTTTTTTAATTTTACTTCTTCATATCTGGGAAACTGTTTTAGTTTCATATTCTCTGCCCATTCATGCATAAATAAAATAATTTATGATTGTTAATTTAAGCAGCAATTCAACTATCTTCATTCCAATTTCCAGGTCTTTAAAAATTCTGCAAAGATGATGCCTCCATTGAACTATCAATCTAGAGTGAGAATGTAGAACTGTATGTAATGTCTGTGAAATATTAAAGATGCCTTGGCCTTTTCAAATCTTGAAACAATTACTGGTTGAACAGACAATAAAAACTAATTTTGATAAAGACTATTATTATTTAAAGTTTTTGAAACACTCAAGAAAATGTCCCGCACACAAAAAAATCCCACCCCTATAAAAGGTCAGAAGTCATCCCATTCTAAAGAATATATTCAAAAGATTAATTTCATTATCTGCTAATAGCATAAAACCTTTAGAAAATCAAAGAAATGTCAAGATAATACATAATCCTTGAATGGTTTGGATTGGAAGGGACATTAAAGATAACCTAGCTCCAACCCTCCTGGACAGGCAGGGATACCTTCCATAGACCAGGCTGCTCAAAGCCCCATTTAAACTGGTTTTGAGTATTTAAAGGATGGAGTATCCATGAGTTCTCTGGGAAACCTGTGTCAGTCTCACCGCTCTCTCAGGAAAGAATTTCCTAATATCTAACCTAGACCTACCTTCTTTCAGTTTGAATTCATTCCCCTTGCCCTGTCCCTACATGCACTTGTAAAATATCCCTCTCCTGCTCTCTTACTGGAAGGTCACAGTAAGGTCTCCCCAATGCCTTCTCCTCTCCCAGCAAACAGCTCCAACTCTCTCAGCCTGCTCTCACAGCAGAGGAACCTTGAAAACAATATAGAAAATGTTTGTGCCTAGTGATTCTGTAAAAAATTAAATTGCTCTTGGTAGCAATAGGTCATGCTAACCAGGTCTTACATTTACTGTGCAAGGCTCCAGTACTGGCCTTCTAGATGTGTTACCAGCTTGTCAGGAGAGCTTGCTGTGTGAAGTGGAATTCAGTACCAGGTGTCTCCTGTCACAATGTGATGCTTGGGATGGCATGGGATAATAGCAAAGGTCTTGAAAGTATGAGCACAGTCTGAAAAGAGAGGCCTGAGAACTAAACCAACAACCTATGGTCATGTAATGGCCACTGAAAAAGGGCACAATTAAGAACTGGCAAGGCTGCTTGTGCTCTTAGGCAAGAGGCAATTATGCAGCAAAGAAAAACAGCCAAGTGACACCATAAAGGTATCTTCTACAGCCTGAAAAACAACCCCACCTAACCTACACAGCCTGTAGGTCAGGAATTGAAGTAAAGGGGTAAAAACTCATACGAAAGGAGATCTCAGATTTGAGGACAATGGTAGGGGTGAAAGAAGAGGCCTTCACCAGGTCCAGCCTTCCTTGTCAAAGAGCTCTCAGGAAAGCTTGACTTCCTCCAGTAGGTGACTACCAAGAACCTCAGCCACCAGTACCAGCTATGTGTCTTCAGCTTCATGGTACTGCATACTCACAGCTAATTTATGACCCACGTTTTAAAGGGTATGTACTTTGCATTTGCAGTGCTAATGAGAAACAATTATAAAGAACTAGACATTAGCGACATGTGCTGAGTATTAATGTAGTGAAGATTTGTTTTAGTGTTTAAAACTGGCCTCATTTACCCATCTTCCACACTCTAGAATCAAAATGTTTATTTTTGTTACTGTTTATGTGTACATATATGTAATAGTTTCATGTGAGCTTTTTCAAAGAAAAATTACGGTGTCACAATGAAATATACTTTTTCTTCCAGGATCACAGACCTGGTTAACAGAAAGTCCATTTTCAGAGGCCACAGATTTCAACATAAAGTTATCTAGTACCAGAAGACTATTCTGACACACAAACATAGTGTATCATACACTTAGCATAGACTAGAAAAGAATTTAATGAGATTTCAAAATGCAGTGGTAAATTCTAATGTGTACCTCATGTCACTTCTTTGTATGTGGTTATTTGAGTAAGGGAAAGGTTTTTCCCATTACACTGTTGCTGTGTACAAGACATAATTTTAGGCCACAACATCTCTGATCTATTACTTGATCACTGGAAAGACAAAATAATGGCGCAATGTCAAAGTGGGCACCTATCATCAGGTGTGAGTGATCCTTTCTAAGTGTGGGTAGTGTCTTCATCCACACATATCACATCTAAATGTGTGCCTGGAATAAGAATTCAATGGTTGAAAACCAAGGTTTATAACATAACTTAAAAAACACCACCAAACTGAAGCAACTGAAGCAAGCTAGACCAACAAAGGAATATAAAGGGAGTGATATGGGATACTGCAGAGGGATACTTCATTGATCTCAGTTTAAAGCTAATAACATATGTCAATACTATAAAGGAAAAAAACTTCATTCTCTTTGAAATCATTAAATATTGCCTTTTGAATATTAGATAAATGAAGAGACTAAATAAAAATCAAAAGTACATTAGCATTTTTCTTGGAAACACATGAAGGAGTTAGTTTCATGTTTTGTGTGGACTCACCTTCATAAGGAGAAGAAAGGTGATATAGCCTGTTCTATATCATACAGACTTCACAGCTAATTAAGCACTTAGTATTGTATTTTCCACCTGAAATGCACTTAATTTAGGTTTTTTTCCTCTCATGTTTCAATACTCAAGATAATTCCTCAGACTACATTTTTAATGTAGTTACCAGAAAAAAAAGTTGTCTTTTCAAATTAGCTACATTCTTACCTGATTAAGTTTCTTCCATAGGTTGAGAACAGGAGAAAGTTCTGTAGACCATATTTCTCTGTCAAATTTACAGCCAGCAGTTGCTGACCTACTCAGGATCCGAAGCTGTGAAATGACCTGAGTGATGAGAATACAAATGCACACTTGAAGAAGGATAAACAAACTTCTTTTAGTACAAAAATGCCATACACTAGCAAATACTCTTCAATTTATCTATGAACTGTCCTTTCCTGCATACTTAATTACTGGTCATGATCTGATCAAAACACAAACAATACCCATATTCAGGTACAAACCGTATTTGAACTTCTTTCATATTAAACCACAAAAAAACCCTACATATTTTCTTATCAGAGTAATTGTCTTTGTTCAATTATAATTTTAAAACTAATGAGGTGCTTAATTAAGTAAAAAGCCTCTTTTTCACAAAACTTAGAGACAAAACTTGAGCTCTGCCTTTAAGCAGGCTCAAGTTCTTCCCTTAGCTAGGCTTCATCTGTAATGAAAAATTTATGGGAAACAAACTCCCAAAATATGTTACTAAATACATACAATAACTATCAGGGACCAAAACTCAAGACAATTATAGGAAAATCAATCAGATCTGACCAGGATCTCTTATTTACATATTCATGCTACCTCAATGTATTTTAATGCATAACTATTAAAAAAAATACAGCAAGAAATTGAAAAAAAAAAAAATTTTTCCAGAAAGAAAAGGAGCTTCTAGTTCATTAGGTCCAACTGCCTTTTATTGTTAGCAACCCTAGTAAGTCCACAAATCAACTGATAAAATACATACATACATACATTTGGAACAAAGGCCACTGAAAATAAAATTCTTCAGTGATATTGCAGTCTGTCCTTTGAATGGTATATGAACACCCTCATATTTCTGAGGCATTTTTGTTAAATTTTAGTTATTTTTCACAGTGTATTTTTTTACAAGTTGTTAGAGAACAACTTACTAATTCTCTCCTCTTTTGCTTGACAATAAAGAATTAAGCTTCATAGTAAAAATGTATTAATCATTCAGAAGATCTGGACTATATAATTGTAACACAGAGGAAGAAAGTCAAGTTGTTTCTGCTGGGATTTGACTTTTTTTCTAGTCTTGAAAGATGTGCAATGATGAAGTGCTTTCTTTTGTTTTCCATTTTCTTTCACTGAAGCAAACCTCTCCTTATTTATCAGCCTTGATAGGGACTATCAAGCACTACAAGATGATAGTACACCCACCCATCATTTCAACTTCTATAACAAGCACTGACCATGAGACTGTGATCTAAAATCCTGAGAGATTATAAGGCCAGTAGTAGAATCACAACCTCAGAACTCAGGAGGGTAGATTTCAGCTTAGATCATTTTAGCAGGAAGGAGATGGCAATGTTTTGGAGGGCAAAGAGGGGCCAAGAGAGTTGGTAAATCCTCAAGAAAAAATTCTCAAAGCACAAACCATCGCTTTCTGATGCAGAGGAAACAAGCATGATAAACAAGTCAAAGAACAATCATGACAGAAGATTATCACGGGTAGAAAGGCAGCTAGTGACCTCAAATCCTAGAATATGATGAGTTGGAAGAGATCCACAGGGATCACTGAAGTCCAACTTCTGGCTCTGCACAGAACATCCCCAAGAGTCACACCATGTGCCTGAGAACATTGTCCGGTTGTTTTCTGAACTCTGTCAGGCTGGTGCAGTGATCACTTCCCCAGGGAGCCTGTTCCAGTGCCCAGCTACTCTTTGGGTGAAGAACCTTTTTCTAATATCCAGCCTAAACCTCCCCTGACACAGCTTCAGGCTGTTCCCTTGGGTCCTGTCACTGGTCACCACAGAGAAGAAATCAGTGCCTGCCCCTCCTCTTCCCCTCACAAGGAAGCTGGAGACCACAGTGAGATCTCCCACAGAAGATGGCCATAAGGATGGACTACCCAGCAGGGGTAGAAAGACATTGCTCAGTTACTTTTTCATTTCAAGTTAGGAAAGCCAAATCTCATCTGGGTTTAAAAACAGCAGTGTATGCAAAGGCCTAAAAGGGTTTCTGGCAGTATTCTGGTAGCTAAAATGAAAAAATGAGCTACTGCTCTTTATAGCTTCTGTTATATAAAATAACATTTCACCCTCTCATTCTCATAACTTAATTTTAAACTTCTATAAACCTTTGTGTGCCCCAGCTATTGTGTATATCAAAAAAGATTCTTGTTTAATTTAGCGAAAAATTAATTTCTCTGATGAATGTTTTGATCGTAGTATCTTTATCATTCCTGCTATTCTTCCTCATTTTCACTCTGCACATATGCCAATGTTCTGACAAGCAACACAGATAATAAACACACATTTGTGCCTTCCAGATATCATTCTTTTAGCTATAGTTTTGTATCTTTTAATTTGTTTTTGGGTAGTTGCCTGCCATCATTTGTTAAGCAATAAAACATTTATATCAAATACACTTTAACTGGTAATTCAGTATGTAGTACTTCATATAAACTTGCATATAGTGCATACTATAAAGCTGAAAAATGTTTATATGATTGCTTTGTGAATATGGGGATTGAAAACATTAACTCTGGTATTCATTTTCAAAGCGTCTTCAGAGGTATAAACATGTATCTCCTTATTGTGCCTATATGTGTTTCTGCTTTGTGTATTTCATCAAAGTAGTTAAAAAATATTGAGTTATCATTATCAAAAGTTAAACACTTAAATTAAAGGTACAGAATCAAAAGAAATCAAGCTTTAACTCTCCGTGTTTTAGAGTACTGTAACATACAAGGACCTTCATCAAACATTCATGGCAAATCTTTAACTCTTTACAGTTCATCCCATTTCTTTTCTCAGATTTAGCAGGTATGCATAATTTACTCCTAAAGTTTCCATGGCAGCAAAGTTTTCAATTCACTTTTTTTTTTTTTTTTTTAATTAATGGGTTGGGCTGAAACTTTTTGTACTGGTGGCTCTTTCAGCCTGAGTATTTTTTCAAAATTTTAAACTAAAATAGTCATTCACATTCAAGACACAGATGAAAATACATTTGATTAATGTCAAAATACTCAGGTTAACCTCACCTTTAAACTGCTTCAACACCCCAAACTTTTCTAATGGACTACAAATTTGATGGCACAACATCTGTCTGAATTTAGGAAAGAATAAAAGATTGTAAGATAGTAACACATGTTACTATTTAAATATGATTACAAGTTTGATATTGAATGGCATATTTCAGTCTCAAAAATGCCATTGAAGTTCCTTACAGTATTGACTAGTCTATGCTACTTTGAATCAGCTAAAGCTTGAGAAAATGTTTACTCTGTACTCTCAAAGCAGTCTCTTTCTGGATGTTATGGAAATGAAAAGAGAAATTTATTTTTTAAAATAGGTTCATAGGAAAATTAACTCTGGAAAGAACCTAAGGAGGCCTTTAGTCTAATCTCCTGTTGGAAGCATGATGAGCTTTAAAATCAGACCAGGTTGCTCAGGGCTTTATCTGGTTTTGAAAAATCTCAACTACAGAGACTGAACAACTTTCTCTACATGACCTCTTCCACTGCTTTACTGCCATAATTATTAAAAGGTTTCCTGCAATATCTAATATGGACCTTTCTTGTTTTGATTTATGTCCTGTAAAAATAAGAGTCAAATTCATGGACTGGGACAAAGAATGTGTTAAGGTTGGGAAGGACCTGAATAAAACCATGAGTGGGATATATTACCCTATTAGAATTCTCAAGTGTATCACAGAAGTACGCAAGGGATTGTGGTATGTTTGCAGTTGCTCCACCTAAGTGTTTTCACCTCTAGGCAAGAGAAATCGGTTTTGAGTTGGAAGGAAAACTACTTAAAAGAAAAAGGATTATCAGGAATACATTTCTGGGGGTCATATGAAAACCAAAGCAAGAGGATAGGAATGAACACACAGACTGGGTAAGTACCTAGAAGGAAGGAGACCTTGGTTCAGATGACAAAGGGAATATGACCAGGAATCTGTGTTTAAGAAGATGAAATAACTCTTGGGTTGAAAGAGGGCACTGTACAAAGTAAGTGGGTAAGGTTAACTAATCATAACAGTATGAATACAAAGATTTCAATAGAGCTATTTATTTGTGAACAATGCATCTAATACTGAAGAACAGCCTACAGAAACTGCTACCAAGTATTTTCTCTATTCTTAGTGGAAAATTCATGCACTCCATGTTTTTTTCTGAGTTATCAGCACAGAAAAATACAAATTGAATATATTAAGGAAGGTGGGGTGGCCAAACTAAGAATGTCTATATTTATTTACCTAGTTATTAAATTACTTGTGCATCTCAGCTTTTTAATCTATTGCATATTTTTGTGTGCATCTACAGACATATGCTGCTATGATACTAACTAGCACATTAGAGTAGAAAACATGTGCATCTAGAGGAATTATGAGAGATAATGAACAAAATGGAAAGCTATAAAGACAATGAATGTTCCCATGCAACCTCCTATGGAGCTACTAAAAATCATGTTTTACCTGAAAATTAAAATTAATGGAAAATATAAAAATAAGGAAATGTCAAGATTTTAACTTTTCCTTCTCTGAAACTTAGACAAGACAGATTTCTAGGAACACAAAATCTATTTCTGTTCTTTACTTATGCACAAGATGAAGAAAAAGGCTTGCCTTCAGTCATTCACAAGTACTGCAAAAAATGCTACTTCACAAATACAATATATAATAAAAACAGACTTACATCTAAATCTTGTATTCATTTCAGAATCAAATCAAATTTTATACAAATTATGAAGTATTAAGACTTGAAAAACAGGGAAGTAATACAGTCAAAAATATCTTGCTAAATTCTGTCAGTGAATTAAACAAAAATCCCAGATCAATCATTTCTGAACTCAATATGATTACAGTTCGAGGAATGCAAAGCTGGAAAGATTTGCTAGTCAGATAACTGGTATTTTTCAAGATTATGGAACATATTAAAAAGAATTTATTTTTTTTTGCGCAAAAAATCTAGCAAAGTCCTCTCAGTAAATCTACACGTGTCAAAGCAGATACTCTACTGCCATCTACCAGTTTTAAAAGGAGATAGTCTTAGCACAGAAACCACTTCTATGCTCCATTTCTCTGAATGAAAC